AATAAATATAAAATTAAAGTTCCGAACACAATGATGGATATCTATTAATGCCGGCAAAACTTTTGTAATGCTAGTGCGATTATCATGTGACAATGCACTATATATTGTAAAGTTACAGTTTGTAAGTTACAATGTAAATTTCATGTAATGAAAAATGTAATTTTGTGTAATTACACGCGGATCCCGCGTGTTGCCCATCATCTAACCTTAAATTTATATCTTTACGCACTTAATTTATTTACAAAATTCGATTTCGCTAAAATTGTACGCGCATACGTATCATAGGAAAACATTTATATGATTGGCTGATGTAAATCAATTACCCGGGTAACTGTAAAAGTTATTCTTAGCTCTAAACAAACGTTAACATTCATTATACAAAGAATCCAAAAAGAACCCTTCTGATTTACTTTACTTATAAGACAGAATATACCAACGCCTATTGAACTACACGAAATTATACTAATAACTGGAAATGGTTTGTCCAAACTTACTTTATTAAGTTAAATTTGAACAAATTTTTATTGCTAACTGTTTAAGTTAAATAGGTACAGGCTTTTTTATTGTATAAAATCCGGGTTTAATGTTTAAATTTGGTTTGCTTTGTAGTGAATTTGGATTTTTCAACAGTAAATTAGATTTTAGTTATGTATTGTAGAGTCTTTAATGAGTTAGGGTTTATTAATAATAAACGTAAAATTTACCCAGTTTTATGCGTATTTATCTATTCTCTATGTATAGTGATAAATTCTTTTGCATGTATTTATCAATTTGTGAGGTTTTTTTATGGAGTTGTTTGCGTTTTCTAGTCGTGTTAGAATGATAATACTTTAAAATTATGTACAGTAATTCGATCGGCGAAAATCACAAGTAGATCTAAACTAGGGTTAGAATGTTAAATCATAGGGATAGTATCAAAAAAAATGGGTCTTGTTTATGAATCAAAATGAATAGATCTTGTGAATTAAAAAAGATGGGCTTGCAACATAAGTTCGACAAAAATTTTTGGAAGACGGCACAAGAACTAGCATTAGCATGTGCGAACATACTGTAGGTATCAAAAGTAACTAATAAAATGCAAATTTAAAATTTATTCTATTTTCACATTATATTTATAAAAAAATTTTTTATAACCAATTAATATACTATGAATATGATTTGAATTAATTATTTTTATAAAACATATCTTTAGAACAATTACCCTTATACAACTTAACACAGTACTAAATACTTATAGAATTTACTTAATATATAAATTTTATTGAAACAAAATTAAACTCTTTTACAGTTAGAGTAAGTTTAAATTATAGTAAGTATATAGTTTATAGTTAAATTTTGCAAAAAAATTTTTATAGAACCCAAAGGGTAGTTTCATATGAAAATTTTAAGATACAAATATTTTGTTTCACAAAATTAATTCGTATGTTACACCTAATTTTAATAATTGGTTAATTGCACTACAGATGATAATTACCTGTAGTGTAAATTAGTAATTTCCTTTTAAAATAAACAACAAATTTCACGTTACACCCTATATTGTGATCTACACGCAAAACTTCTTATTTGGTTTGTATCACGATAGAAACATCCTCAGCTTTATTTATTTTCGCGAGTAATACAAGCCAAAAAAAAAAAAATCCAAAATTTTAAATAAAATAAGTGCGTGAAATGAAAATTTAAAGTTAGGGCCTTAATGTTAGAGTCTATAGAAATCATTATATGCTCAATTTCATTCCCGACATTTTTAAATGCACCAAGGTTGATTTAAACTACAGCAGAGAACATCGAATATGAAAGTGATTTTCATGCTAAATTATCATGGCATGGTTTGGACCAATTAAAATAGCATAACATGATTGATCGACCAATCAAATTCCTGATTTACAAAATTTTGGGATTCATAGGGACTCAAGAAATATGCTATAAAGCAAAGTGTGAGCTTCTCTTTTCTTAAAGAATTTTTAACATTTCTTAAAACATGAGCCTTTCAAAAAAGTATTGTAAAATAATATAAAACAACTCTGTGCAAGATCCACTGTCTTTGCTGTAAATTTAAACACTAGTGAGTATTTTCTACTTTGCACGTGTTCGGGTTCTATGTTTGGCTGATTCGAAATTGTCAAAATTTGCATTCTTAAGAGTTTGTCTTACTAAAATAAATGCGTCCAATTATACGTACTTCGATTACGTATGTTACACGACATAACCTGGCACAGAATGTAGGGGTATAATTAACATTCGCAAAAAAATCGAATAAACACCGAAAAAATCATCGTACGTACGTATATATGTATTAGGGAAGTACCATTTATTACATAATTTTGGGGAGATTAGGGTAATAACACTCCATATGTTATATATAAAAATTATGATTTGCTGCTAATTCGATCACCTGGGTGGGAGGAATCTAACCTTCTAATAAAAGATAAGCGGCACAGAAGTTGAATCCCAAAAGATAAAACTAAAATATTACTTAAATGCATCTACAAGTTATATAAAATGTAATTTATATAACCAAATTCTAGTCCTTGTTTACATTATACTGTGTCAATTACATGGTTTGAGATATAATGCTTTTATTGACGTCCCCTTAGCTGATTTTGAGGTGCGAAAAAACTTTAGTATTGCCTCATTTTATCTAAAATGTCAAATGTTTTTGAATATACAAAAAATATTTTGCTATTGCTATATTGACAGAAGGAAATAATGCAAAGAAATGTTCTACAATATAAATTAGAGCGTCTGGTTTACTCCTGCACAGAATCTGCACAAAGAATCTGCATAAATATGTACAAATATGCAGATTTTGCTCAAAAAAAGTCGTATAAACAGAAAAATCAGAATTATCATTACTTATTAATTATATAACAATATTAATTACTAGTAATATTTTTAATTTTAATTGGTTAAGCAGATTATGCAGAAATTGCCGAAAAAAAAAGTAGTAATTTAACGGTTTAAATAAGCAGATTTCTGGAAACTAATATAAATATGTGTCAATGGAATTATATGTTAAGCAATTTTTTCTTCATCACGTTCTAATTAAACTCTTTTTTATTAAAAATTCTTTAAAATAATGTTTTGCGGAGCTGAGGAAATACGTTGCAGATCTTGTTGCGGATCTTGTGATAGAAGGCAAGATTGCAATGCTTGTAAAAAGAAGAAAGATTGCAATGCTTGTAACGAGAAGAAAGCTTGTGCTAAGATATTTCGTATTATTAAATGGACTATAAGAATAATATTTATTGCGTCATGGCTGATTGTCTTAATTATTCTCTCTCAAGAGGTAGTTAATGATTTACCAACTGTGAGGAATGAATATATTCAAATTTCCGAATTCCCGGCACCCGTAATCTCAATACAATTGACATTAAACTTTACAATCACCTGTGATTTTTTACGATATAAAATTTATGGTATTCGGTATATTTTTTTGAATGGTATTGCCTAGTACATTCTGTGCATCTTACTGATTTGATCAACTAGATTGAAAATTACGTGCATAGCGTAAATGAAAAGAAAATTGTCTTGGATTAAAGTTAGGTGGCTCTGGTTAGTAATAACATTAATATCGATATATATTATTATATCGTCAAATTTAGGACAGCGCTTATGGGCCTATCCTAATATTAACTTTAAAATACCACGTATACTGCACTGTAGAGCTGTCCGTAGACTTTCCGTAATCATATTGTTAGTATTATAAATTTTGGTAAATAATCTATTCTAATAGTGCTGGTACTAAACTTTAATCCTAAGATGCACAAAATGCACCAATACATAGTTCAAAAATCTCACCACATTTGTTTATACTTATTTATTATTAGATAGGAATCATACCTTAAACAACTGCTCGAACTATCTTATTCAACCTCAACAAAATCATAGTGGTCTATATACAGGAAAGTTTGATCCAAAAGATCTCACCTTTCCCATTGATCAAACGGAGACCCATTTAAAGAGAATACTCTTTAAATTCAGTATTCCTAACGATAGCATTGTAAATGGTGACCACCCTGTTTTTACCATTAATATATTTGACTCAGTAAATAAAACAATGGCAGACGAAATGCATAATGCATTTGATGATAATACATATGTTTTGCAATCAACCCCTTTTATTACATCGAGCTTCCGACAAATAGATTTTTCTTGGGCCGCAATATTGTAAATAATGTCATACATTAATAATACGATGTAATATTTAAAATTACATATTACAGTAACTTTTATATTTTTAGACTTATCATATTCGAATGACAAGGCGAATAACCAGCCTAATTGTACCCTCTCTTTGGGATGATTTTGGATTACCACCAAAATACGATTCACAAGCGCATATTTCATCAATTATTTGTATGTTAATATCATTATTTACTAGAAATATCACAATAAAAAAATTATCAAATAACAATTTATCTAGACCCAACAACTAGAAGTGAAACATACTTTATGTCGGCCATATCTGGATTTATGATTGATCCTTATAATTTCGTGGTTGAGACGCAGAAAGAACAGAGAAATAAAAGTGTAAATATTTTCATTAAAAGAAACTTTATTGTTATTATTATAATCAAACTATTAATCTTGTTGGTTTTATTAGGCTTTGTCTGTTATATCAAATGCATTAGCTATAGCTGGAACATTTCTAACACTAGATGTATTTCTATTTGGTAATACTATATATTATTTATTATGCATGTTAGACAGTAATATTTATTTTTACATAAATTTATTATTTTTAGGTCTTAGATCCACGAGGCCATGGGGATATATACGATTCTTATGCTTACAAAATTCAATAGACGAAGGTCATAAAAATGTACTTAAACTAGAAAAGGATAGCATGCAATCAGAAAATGGACAGGCAGAGAATGACAAGCAATCAGAAAATGGACAGGCAGAGAATGACAAGCAATCAGAAAATGGAGTGATATTAAAAATTTTACATGGATATATAGCAAATTAAATAGCATTTATACCCAAAATCTTGTATCTTTATTGGGTATATGTATATAGTAAAACAAAGATGTGAATGTATATTAAAACTTTGCATATTATATCTTTGCATCTGAAGTAACACTTGCTCTTGTATTTTGTGTTGAATGAGATTGTCTAACTTTTAATATGTGATATGTTTTATTTCTGTAACTGTAATAGCAGTACAAGAACCTTATATTGTGATTAGGCTTTGAGACTCTGATAGTAGCATATGAACCTCATATTGTGACATAATTTTATAGCTACAGTAGTACAAAGACCTCATGTAATAATCAAGCTTTACAGCTGCAATGGAAGTACAAGAACCTCATATTATATTTAGGCTTTGTAGTAGCAGTGCATGAATCTCAAATTGTGATTAGGCTTTGTAGCTACAATAGTAATGCAAAGATCCAATAATCAAGCTTCGCAACTACAAAGACTTTATAATATGTTTAAACTCCATAGTTGTGATAGCTATGCAAGAATATTATGTTGTGATTAAACTCTATAGCTGCAGTAGCAGTGCAAAAAATTTAAATTGTGATTAGGCTTCATAGCTAAGTAGTAGTATAAGAACCTCATATTTGATGATTAAGTTCTATAGCTACAATATTTGTGCAAGAACTTTATATTATATTTAGTCTTTGTGGCTACAATAGCAGTGCAATAATCTCATTTTGTAGTTAGATTCTACAGCTACAAAAACAGTACAAGGCCTATAGGTAAGTGATAATATTCATGTTATTATATAACACTAATTAACCAATTCTATGTTGTCTACTTGGCTGCATTTCTTTATATGAAAATATGATAGATTAAAGGAGTATTTCTATATTCTAATATGCTTTTACAAGAACACTATACTATTTTTATCCTAGATTAAAAGAAGAAAAGCATTTGTATTCTACAAGACAATGATTTCTCTAAGTTTTTTTGATAATTACTTTGGACCAGAAGAAACAAAATCATTGGAAAATATATTCATAAATCTTTCTAGTGATAATTTTAGATTTCTGTAGCTTTACTAATAACAAATTTAGAAAGTGAATAGAAGTCTTTATTTTTAATATAAAATATACCAGAAAAGTAGTAAAATAGAATATATTGTTATATAGCAATTAAATGGTGTGTCCACAAAAACTTAATATGATTGGATAATGCATCAAATACATTTAAATATCGCAGTGTTGTACCATCACAAGGCTTTAACTCATAAATATAAAACTTGCTTTGTTAGTTTAAGTAGACTTATTGACAGAATAATAATGAATATATGTGATATATCATTTAAGCAGTATTATATCTGATTAAAATTAGAAACTATCACTATCTAAAAAATAGAAAAACACCAATTTATCATTATATCATTAAAATTTTTATAGTTTATAACTATTTAGCTATTTGAAAACAATTAGGCGAGGATAAAATATTGTGTAAGTAAATTATTATTTTACAAAGTTGCTTTCACCAGATATGTTACCTTTTAAGCCAGCTATCTACTCTTTTTAAAGCCATACTTCATATATCATAAAGTGAATATCATTAAGGCACTTAATGACTATAAACTTGATTTAGAGTAAAGTATAACTTAAAGAGTAATAAACAGAAAATTAATATTTATAATGTCTGCCATTTGTACTATTCATTTTTTGTATTTTGTATTTAATGTAGCAGATTATATTTTGACACATTTTATGCATCTAACTTTACTATTTATCTTTTGATAGGTGACAACTATTAAATGCCATTCTCATATTACTAATTTAAATACTGTACCTTAATGTTAGTAAAAATATTAAGTAACAGCACATATGGCTTTTCATAACATACTAAACCTGATTATACCTGTTGTCTCATTCTAATTGTAAAGATATACCAGAAATGGAGTGATATTAAAAATTTTACATGGATATATAGCAAATTAAATAGCATTTATACCCAAAATCTTGTATCTTTATTGGGTATATGTATATAGTAAAACAAAGATGTGAATGTATATTAAAACTTTGCATATTATATCTTTGCATCTGAAGTAACACTTGCTCTTGTATTTTGTGTTGAATGAGATTGTCTAACTTTTAATATGTGATATCTGATTCAGTAATTTATTTTTTTATAGTTATCACTTACTGATCTTGATTGCTGTTATACTATTTTGTATATAGAATTAGATCTTGATCTGATTTTTATTACCTGCCAATCTATAACACAATAGAACAGCACTTGTAAAATTATATTAGTATATGTTTGATTTCTCAAATTCACAATTATTCGATATTTACAATCTATTTAAAGATAAACATATAATCGTATGTTTCACAGTTTTGAAAATATTGTAAGTAAATTAATTTTTTTGGCTATTTGATTTCTTGTCAAATGATTTTTCTTCTAAATTATTTTGGCTTAAATAATAAATTATTTGAATATAGTAATTGATTGTATTGTTATTTTGAATCATAATATGCTAATTCTCTAAATAATTTGTGGTCCTGTTCGCAAACATTTAGCTTTAGACTAGTTAAAGAATGAATTTAAGCCCCTATTAATAACTAGATTGATCTTTACAGTTTTATCCAAATTTAACCTGAAAAAACAGTTGTTAATTTTGATTTGTACTTTACTGATACTAAAAAAATTGTATGCTTTTTATATAATAAATATGTAATTATTACTAAAAATAACAATTATTTAATTCTTTTTTCTTATATGTATAGCTATTTGAATTAATAATAAACTACATTTTGCTTTATCATATTAAACATTCAAGTCTTACCACTATTAATTTTTTCTATTCCTGGTTTTGTAGAATGATATCGTGTAGCTATCTAGTATTAATATTGAACAAAATTTTGGTAACCCAGTAATGGTAATGATGATAGCCATATCTGTTTGTTGAGCAAGCCTAGTGATGTACTACATACTTTATAGTTATTGTATAGGTATGTAGTGAATAATCGAGTTACACACAGGATCATATTTCATACTAAAGATATAGGATTTAAATATGAACTCATGTGTATAACTGGGTTATTCATACCCATACAATAACTATCTTATTGCATAGTGTCTAATATAACAATTTCATGCCAATAAGTAAATGAAAAAAGCACAGGTTGTCATATAAGACCCATGCAATAAAGTACTGTATATACTATATGTATATACTGTACATACTGTATGTGAGAATTTTTGCCAATCATTATATATATATATAGTCTGTTTTATATTAATTAATTAGGTAGCTACGCAATGTAGTTGTGATAAAACCAGGAACCAAAAGCTTTATTTGGGATTAGTTTTTTTTTTTTTTAATATCAAGGTAAGGTTATACCTCTAGTTTTTATTAACATATACTTTATCGCTCAATTACAATTACATATACATTAATTTTTATGAACTACAGAAACTTAGACT